ACAATTGGCAGCAAAGAAGTTTCCGTGATTCACTACCAAACTACGTACATTTTGAAAATTTATAAAAGCACAACAATCCCCAGTAGCTGCACACAGCAAGGATGTGAAACAGCTGTGCAAAGAGAAAAACAGTTCAAAATGAGATTTTTGTACTGACTGGCTGCTTGCTTATCTTAATCGCTAAATTAAGAGTAGCTCATGGAGAGCAAGATGCCAACCTGTGCCAAATCCCTCACAGAACTTACTTCAACCCCTCAATCTTATGTGCTCTGTTTTTATACGATATACTTTTTGGTAGTTTAGTTTCAATAGAGTTATTTACTGTGTTTAAGGTGTCAGCCAAAGATGATAATACTAGAACAGAAATACACAGGTAAGAATTCATTTACAATGGATTTTGCCAATAGCAGAATTGACAATAAGGGGAGACTGCTGGAACTGTACAGGAAAGGGCGTAATTTGTTTTCCATGAGCTGCAAATGGAAGAAGGAGATGTTTAAATTACAGCAGTCAACACTTAAGGGTGAGCATAAAAAAGCACTGGAATAAATTGTACTAAGCACTTGAGGATTTTGGGGAATGGGGCAAAGCTGGAAGTGGGCAGATTCAGGCTGGATGTGAGGAAGAAGTTCTTCACCATGAGAGTGGTGAGACCCTGGAATGGGTTGCCCAGGGAGGTGGTTGAGGCCCCATCCCTGGGGGTCTTTAAGGCCAGGCTGGATGAGGCTCTGGGCAGCCTGATCTAGTGGGAGGTGTCCCTGCTCATGGCAGAGGGGTTGGAACTGGGTGACCCTTGTGGTCCCTTCCAACCCTGACAGATTCTGATCTGTTTTAGCAGAGGACTTTGGAGCCCTGGTGGCTCGGTGGTTGGACTTGATGATCTTGGAGGTCCCTTCCAACCTAAAGGATTCTATGACTCTATGAATGTTTGACTAAGGATGGAGTGGGCATCTGGGCTGCAGCTGGGTTGAGGTTTCCTAGGGCTTCTTCCAGACCTCCTCTCTCAGGCATTTTTCTGGATTACAATAGAGCCTTTTTATTCTTTTACCTTAATTTAATCCTCTGTCTGAAATCATGAGTCTAGAGGATATCAACAACATGAGATGATGACTCTTTATGTCTTTTCAAAAAGGACATGAGAACTTGAATGCATTATAGACTTTTACAAACAGTAAAAACAGGGGACCAAAACTTTCCCTTGCTGAGGGCTACAAAATGTCTTGGATGCAGAAACATCTCAGATTGTCCTTTACCTGACACCATGTCAGCCCCTCTACATGCCATAAGATGCTTCTTCCACCCCCTGTGATGACTGTACTTTCCAAGGGGAAAAAGTCTGAGAGATTCCTCATGTGATGTAAATTCACAGAACAAGCTTTGAGTAATTTCCAGCTAGAGTAACAAGTAAACAAATCTGAAACTCTCACTGTACCCCATATACCTTTTTACCAGTTATGCTATTAATAATTTTAATTTTGTATTTTTATTTGAATTTAAATAATTAATTATTACAAAAAAAAAATTGTATTAATTTAATAATGTAAGAAGTGGACTTGTTAAGGTAAGAACTGGGACATAGGAAAGCTGGAGGGAGGTTCTCTCTATAAGCTGCAGGGGTGAACAACCACGACTTGACAGCCGACGCATTCACTGGTGTGGTATCGGTCAGTGACGCCATCCCTCAAAAGCTCAGGCAGACAGACACACTGCAGAAGATGCCAAAATGCTGGTTTGGAATCTGATGGAGTAAGGACTGAGACTTAGGTTGCTGACTGAGAAATGTATTTCTCAAAGAAATGCATTTGAAGTCACCATTCCACAGTGGTTGTTCGGGTTTGTTTTTTTTTTTTTCACATTGAACAAAACTTTGAGGAAAGAGAATTAAATAAAAGCAGAGTTCAGCACCACTTTTCTCCATTTTCCACTCATGGTTTACCATAGTCAATCATAATATGAAATACCATCAACCTGCATTAGTAGATTCTCATACCTTTTCCTGACCATAAACAATTGCACAAAAAGCCTTTGACACCTTTAATTAGGAGTAACCCCTTTGCTGTTGCAGCAGTTCTTTGCCTGTAAATCCAAGCTACTATTTAAGACCAAAAAATGTGATAACAATTTGTGTTCTCTGACTTTCAGTTGTGTTTCCAGCCAAAACACCTGCCTAGTTTGCCTCACGTATCAGAAAAAGCTACCTTGTCTTCACCTCTCTTCACTCTGACAAGGTCTAGCAGCTGTTCACACCTGCTTGTTTGTTGAGGGTCACTAAGCACAGTACCTGAGTGCATGGAAACGGCAGCCTCACTTTTCTCTACGTGATGGCCGTTGCGGCACTACAGCATTGCAAAAGCATCTTAAGTTTGTACACACTCTCCATTCCTGATTCTCTGTGTGGATCCACAGCTGTCCACACAGCATTCTCTCTGAGCAAACAAGCCAACTCAGAATGGTTTGAGCTCAGTCAATAAGGATGTGGCAGCCAGCAATTACAGCAACTTCCCATCTTCCTCCTCAGAGAAGTTTCTTCCTGCAGGATCAGAGGTGAGACATCTATTTCAAACTCCTAATGTCACGACTTTCCACTCTTTAAAGGCCAACATGAAGATTTTTTTGACTATAGCCCAGTGAACATTAGATGATCAGTAAAAACTCTGGTGTCAGGGATACACTGTGATTGGCAATAAGACCATCCTATCATCCATAAGCTAAATTATATCTCTTAATAGCTTTTGTATCACTAAGAAGCATTTGCTGCTTATGGAGTTAGATATGACCCGAACAGTAGCCTCTAACCAGCACCACGTGCCCTATCTCCTTAGGATCTGAGAGTGTCTGAATTAACTAACCAGCTGCTGTATTTTCAGACGATGGGTGCCAAATACATGGGTGCATACAGGCTCACATCCACCTTTGCAGAGAAGGAGACAGCACTTTGCAGAGAGTTACACTGAAGGCACCTCTCCTTACACTCCCATGAAGAAACTTTGTGCTGTGCTGTGTAACTAACGAAAAGGTGCAGACATGCCCTCAAGAGCTTCTACCATCAAGGACAGGCAAAAGAGACAAATACTTTTTATAGTCCCAAAGCCAAGTAAGAAATGCATGATACTCTTCCAGTTCTCTACTACAACCTCCCTCGATATCAGCATCTTTAAAAATCTCTTTCAGCAAAGAGAATTAAAAGCAACCAGATGTACTTCTATTAAAGATGGGTGAAAAGAAAAAAAAAACAGAACTTGCTATTTTTATTTATCAAATTAATATAGACAAGTAAAAAAAACTTAGGTACATTAGCTTTGAATTAGAAGAAAGTGCTTATATAAAATACGACTTTGAATGCAACTGCGAAGAAATGCATCTGAACTGCATGCAGCAAATCTTACCAGTACCAATTTTCTTGCCTTTTATTTTTCACTGGTTAAGTTAGTGTATCACAATTGAAATAGGACTAGTCAACTAGCCAGGAAACACTTTGATTTTCATATGGCACTAAAGAGTGCTGATACTTTATCTGTGTTCTATACTTGAACTTAGCACTGGAATTAATTTGCAAGCCGGCCAATGTTAACCAGAGAAGTAAATTATAAAATAATTGAGCCTTGAATGCTGCACAGGCATAAAACCACACACATCCAGCTACCTCTTGCCTGTATTTGGCCTCTTTAAAGCTACAAAACTGTTGGATCAAAGCCTGACATCTATGCTGGTGACTGTCAGTCCTCACTGACATCTGAGAAAGTGAAATTGAGTCTGGGAATGTAAACGGCGCCTCCGAATAATGCAGCACCTCTGAGGAACTGGACTGCGCTGCCAGAACGGCGAGCAGCCCGATTCCTCTTCTGAGACTTACAGCACTGACAGTCCCCTGGCCTTCAGAGTACTGTCAAGTGAGGCAACCAAAGAACACAGTCTACTAAGAGAGTGCTTCTGAGATCCAAAGCCAAGAAGAAATACTGTCTGGGTGGGAAAAGGGGAGGGGAGAAAAGATTATGTCTTATGTTTCTGTAACAGTGCACATTTTCTAATCCTCAATCTCATGCCAATACTCCTGCAATAGTTTGTCACCCTTGTAGTACCCCAAGTAACTCATATTCCTCTTTAAAGTTTTCAAGTATTTTCAGATTTACTCTTGTTAGGCATCTCTTAGTCAAATTAATACATGTATGGTTGCCCACTCTCCTTAAATAACCACCAAATCTGTCTGTTGGTTTCTCTTCCCATTTAACTTTTCCTCTAACTTGGTAACTGCTTAAATGAGCTGTTTGTACCACAAGCACACTTACACTTCAAAATGAGTGTGTGAGGGGAAATAAACATTAAAAAATGTAGTTTTGTTTCAGCAGCTGCTGCAGTAAAAACAAATTCTTGACCTTTTAAAATTCTTTGAGAACCCTTAAACAACTGTATTTCCAGAGGGGAGGGGATTTACTGTCCCACCTCTCTCCCCCTCCCTAAAGGAGAAGAAAATTGTCAAAAAAATTTGACAACCAGTTGCCCATCACTAGGTTAGGCTGAAGATCAAACAGAGCCATACATTGTTCCACAGACTCCTCACAACAGGCAATTTGGGGCTTATTTTCTAGTGTTAAAAAGTCTACAAGGCAATTTTTTTAATGAAACCCAAGAGCACTGAGAAGACAGGCATGAAGCATTTTTATAGAGGGTTTGTTCACACTGCAAAGGGCTGTGTAACTATCTTTGCTATTTGATTAGAACACTTACACTTGACAGACATTCAATACTCAGATCAAGCAGCTGAGTTAACCACAACATTTAAACTATACTCCCTATTCATAATATAATATTCCTAAGGTATATTAATTTAAAAAAACAAACAAACAAACAAACAAACAAACAAACATTTTTGACTGCTTACCCCTAGGTTTTGGGTGCTTTAAAGCATTCAGGAATTTTGCTAGGTGAACTATGTCACCACCTTTCGAGTGATGAACACAAAGTATGTTTCATTTTCAAAAGGAAAAAACGTGTTAACTTACATGATTTCTTTTGTTTCCTCCGTCATTTACAGATGTAATAACAGTTTCAGAAAAAAATGTTGATCCAGTTTTGTTATCTGTAACCTGATACAGTAGAAGAACAAAATATCAAACTACTTTTTTTAATTAGTCTTCTGTTAACTCTCAGTCCTACTTCTGCAATAATTAACCCACCCTCACACTCTCCTTTTTTTCCCATTTTGCTGTCACTCACTTAAGTAGGTGACAAGGCTACCTCCTTATCTATTTAAAATGTCAGTGTAATGAATTTGAGCTAGAGATGGTCATCCTTTTATGACCCATGCAATAGCTGTACCTGTGTGCTGTTTTTACCAGTCACTTTTTTCAAAATAAATTATTTCACATTAACCTTTTATGACATGTGACCCTACACAGTAATTAGGCAAGCAAATGGAATAAAATCCCAAAACAATTATCACCAGGAAAGTTTATGCTCCAAATTATTTTATTTCTCCCCAAAATGTGCAAAATTGTTTTTATTTTTGAAGAAAAGGCTGTGTAAGAACCAGCAGCTTGCTATATAAGTTTTCTCATACCTTATCAATCTCTTGATGAGTCTGAACAGTTTTATTACCAATTCTGGTTTCCATGTTTGACTCGTTATGGTAGTTGGGAGGCAAGTTTTCAAAGCTTACTTCAGACAGTTTTTTTGCCCCTTCCTCTTCAGCTTCCATCTGCCAAATTTAAATAAACCAACTGAATATTAGCAACATTACACGAAAGAGAACAAGCAACACTCCTGTGCAGCCCGCAGTTAACGTTCTGTTTGTGTGGTGCTGCTAGAACAGCCCCCTCTGCATGGCAACGCGGACCCCGCCGCTTCACTAACCACAGCACCTCTTCTAACGGACTTCACAGACAGCAGAGCTAAACCCTCGAGCTCCAAACTGCCTAAGACAGCTAGTCCCTGAGAGGAAAAAGACTAGCAACAATTTGGTATCTGTATAGGCCGAGGCCAGTCAAGAGCCTAGCTTTCTGTTTTCCCCATAAAGCCACTAAATAATTAAGACAATCTAATGAAGAAGATAAAATATTCTGGAAGAATAGAGAGACATAGTGAACACCCTTTGAAGTCAACAGCAGCAGTCCCATAGATCAGGGTGCGTGCATCCAGAATTCATTCTCTGTTTCACTTCCCACTCTCTTTGTTTGCCAGATGAAGACTCAACACAGAAAAGGAGGGGTCTCTGAATCACAAACCAGAGTAAGCTCAGCAAAGGCCAGGAACTTGTAAACAATACAGACTCTGAGTAAGTCATGTCCCTTTGTTATTTGCAATTACTGTAACAAAGCTAGAAGGCCACAAGTTCTGCCAGGCTGAACAACAGAATTTTTCCCAAGACAAAATTTCTCTTTCTGGTGTGTCTGTTTATTTTAAATGACAGCTGCAAGCCTTTTTTAAGTGTCAAACATTAACCTAAGACTTGGCTCAGACAATCCACATTTTGTGGTGTATACAGACCATTTTTCCATCCAGAATTGACTACAGGCAGAGACAAATTTTTACGAGATGCTTATTTTTAAGAAAGCATATTTTCAGCATTGTAAACAATACTTTAAAAAAACGTTTTGTCTCACTGTGTTTACAGTCTAAATGAAGTTGATGACAAAGGCAGATCTCAGCAACTGTCCAGCTAACTGCCAAAGTTCAGAAATCATCATAGCACAGCAAAGGTCTGCTTCCCCATCAGGTTGTCACTGAAAAGTTTTCTCAGACTCTGTATTTTTGAATGAGATGCAAAGAGAACTTGCAAGGAAGAGTCTTAACATGACAGGAAAAAAAGTGCAGCAGAAAGGGGAATGCAGGAACAAGGTCTTCTGAAAGAGCCGGGAGATAACGGCTCGGGGTCAAGACTCGGTTCCTGCCTCTGAAACAGACCCTGTGCCATTCTGGGCAAGCACTGAGACCAAGATGTGGAACTACATCAAAAGTAGGATGTTTTTCCGCACGTTTTCGGGGCTGTCTGACATCTTTGAATCCTGGTCAGGGATAACCTCTTGTGTCTTAGTTCCTGCTGTACAAAGACGGCACCTCTTCGCATTCCCCTCTGCCGCGTACTGTTATTTTCTCGCCTCCTATAGGATCCAGATGGACTATTTGCCTGCGTTCCTGCCTCGCTATATGCAAGCGGGCGGCTTCCCTGCGCGGCCCGGGGGCACGCCGAGCCCCGGCAACGCCGCCGGAGGCAGAG